CACATACAAAACCCGTTTAACATGCAAAAATTGCAATTCAGAAACGAAAGGTCGTCATTGCTGGTTAAAAGACTGCTGCAGATGGTGGAAGGTTGAGTTTGGTTCTCAAATAAAAACTCATGAAGAACCAAAAGTTTCTCGTTGCAAGTTTTCTCAATTCCTGGACTGTTGAACATTGTTATGGGGTCCTCCCCTTTTTCATGTAAGTGGAATCGACCAGAGTGTTACGTGGACTGCTGCCGTTAAATACCCAAAGTCAGTCAGAATAGAGAGAGAGAGAGAGAGAGAGAAAGCAGAGATTGTGATTGAGTTGGAGGTAGAGTAATAGTGTGAGGTAACCGCTTGTAGAAGTCAGTTACAAGCACGTAGACTCTAAGGAAGTCCTACTTCGACACTATATCTATATACAGTGTAACCCGGATATAAGAGAGATGTCGGGACCGGAGAAGAAGTGTCTTATATCCGGGTTTCTCTTATATCCGGGTCGGGTCTAATTTATATACATTAACACAGGCTCTAATTTGGGACCAGAGAAAATCTCTCTTATATCCGGGTTTCTCTTATATCCGGGTCTCTTATATCCGGGTTACACTGTATATTATTATTACGACTGACAGCGTTCCTGGATTTACTAACAATATACCCATTGTATTATTGTGTAAATACATTTAATTTCTTATCTTTATTTCTTGCGTTTGTCATTCATTGGAGACCGAATTTCATCTCGGGATCTACAACAAACATAATACATTAACTTTTTGTACCAAATCCCTGTTGCTTTGGCGTGGATCCAATTCGTCTCATTCAAAGTTTCTTAATTCTGAGCGGGCTGTCTTCCAGGACGATACTTGTCTGATCTGTCACAATCAGCATTTTTAAACCTTTTAAACCACAGCTAATATATACGCACCTTCAACCGTATACACTGCACAATTTTTTAAACGTGTTTAGGAATTTATACATTAAGAAATGCTTTTTAACGTTATAATCCTCCGTGAAATTACATTTTAAAACACTATCGGATAGAAGAGACGATAATTTATTTCTAGACGCAATTTCGTAACATTGGATCTTGGTTCTGACTTGGTTGGTTTATTTATAATTTATTGTGGTAAAATACGTAATTACTTTCCAACATTCTAATACATTATCAGTAGTAATATCAGAATAATATAAAAAAAATCAAAGCAGTTTTTTCTTTCATGCCCTTTTTATAATACAGGCTGTCCCCGCAAAATTGACATAATTTGAAATGTAGCTACATGTCCCAGGTAAACGAAATTAAATAGACTTCATGTTGACCAATAAAAGATTTATTTATAAAAAATATATTCAACCGATTTCACAAAGCTTCACAAATTTTCAATATGCGGATCACCTGTGTCACGACACATCGGTAGTCCAGTACATGTCAAACGCGCCGTAGCATGATTTGCGTAACATTCTTCAGCGCCTCAGTAAGAGGGAGGATATAGACCTGTCCTTTCACATAGCCCCATAGAAAAAACATAACAAGGTGTCAAATCAGGTGAACGTGGTGGTCATTTCAACAGCAATTTGTATTACCACTGGCACGCCGGATTAGTCATCCAGGTAGATCCTCACTAAGATAAGTTCGTATAGTCGATTTAGTTTTTACACATTTTGTTAAAATATGAGATCATTTGAGCGAGAATTGGCTACAAAATGATGTTCAATTTTTGCGGACACTCTGTATTTATAAAAGGTTAAAAAATTGATAACGTTCTTGAATTTGATTCTTATTTTGCCAATGGGGTTTTCTATTGCTAGATTTCGAATAGACATTTGTGTAGAAGGTTAAGAGTAGTATTTTGTAAAAACTAACTTTCTTTCAGTCTAATTCATTTAACAATCGCAGAAAACGAGATATTTTGTCTCTAGTGACTAAACAGTTTGTTATGCATCAAGAAATTCCGTGTAGCTTTCGCTTACAGGCAAATGAGTTTTCACTGTTAGGAATGAATTTTCAACATCAGTCTTAAACAAAATACAGACCCTAACTGAATTTTAACTTTTGGCTTATTTTGTACCAGAGAAGAACGAGAAAATTCTCGCGCGTCAGAATCCTTGGCAGAATTTTTGTGTGCGGTTTGTAAATTTTTTTTTTTTTTTAGAGGCCAGCCGTTTAAAACGGATATAGAATTCTAGCGACTTCCTGTTGAGGATTTAATTAGCTTCTGCTTTTCATATAACAACTGGTGTATTGACGCGAACAATGAACATTTTCAGGAAAACAATTCTCTTGAATTTTTTAGAAAAAATATCTCTTATTTTCTTTTGTTTTCATTCGAAAAAAAAAAAATTAAAACTGAGATTGATGAACGGATCATGATACTCAAAATCATGTAATTTATTTAGTAGCTGCTGGGCTAGAGATGCTCTTTAATTTACTGATTTTAAACAACGGTAAGCGCATTTTGGATGTGCACATGGAATACTGGATATCGGTATGGAAAGTGGAATTGACGTGTCGAGTTCAAAATTTCAAACATAAAGTAGAATATTTAAATTATGAAAACTAGAAAGAAAATATGATGAAAATTTTTAAAGTTGTGGCTAAAATATTTATAACCGTATGCTTCCTGCAAAAAAAGTAAACATTTTTTCTTGTTTCTTCAAAGAAAGTATTTTCATGCATTTTAAAATTACTGTTTCACTTTTTTCATCGTTTGTAAATGATTGAAAATTACGCTATTTACATTATTCGGGCTATTGTCCTCATCTTTGTCGCTATGTTTATTACAAAATTGCAATATGAGCTCTGGTAAAAACATACAATGATAACAGCAAAAATTGCAATATGAGCATTGATAAAAAATGGTTGCTGAAGACATTAGGTTTATAATAGCCAGAAATTCATATACAGATGTCCTCAAGGCACAGTGGATAAAGGCGTTGGTTAGATCCAGTGAGAGGACCCAAAGAGTGTGAGTTCAATACCCGGTTAAGGCAGTGGAGAACTTAGAGAGGGGAATTAACAGGAGATAACTGATAACTGACATCCATTAGACACGGCACGTGGAACTAGAACAATCTACCCCAGTGAGCGAAATAAAGAGTTTAGTTCGATATCCCAACCACCTGAAGAAGGTCGGAGTGTACATAAATATGGCGACAAATATGAGGACAATAGTCCGAGTAATGTAAATAGTGTACATAATGTCTCATCTCAGAAATATAGACAGGTTGGAAATTAATTCAGATATTTTAATGGGTTTGTGACGATTAAAGAACTTCCTTGAACATAAACATGGCAAATCCACAGTAAATGTGTACCAGTTATTAGTAGTTGACATGTGACCTTAAATGGCCTCATCAGGTCACAGCTAAAGAAACTACAGATGACACATAAAAAAACAATATCAAATAAAAGAAATATGCTGTGATTATGTGTAAATGTCCTTTAGTAGCGGTATAGATACAGGAATAGATATATAGGTAAATAAATCCCTGGAAAGTTGAAAATATTAAACCAGAAAGGAAGAAAGAGGGAGAGTGTGCGAGACAAAAAAAGAATATGTCTGTGAATAAGTGAAAAGAATAAATAATGAAAAGTCTCTGAGAAATACATATGCGTAAAGTAAAGACAGACACGCGTAAAAGAATCGAATGGCTAGATCCATTATGAGCTACAAAAGACAATTACCGTTAAAAATGGTCAAATGTCGTATCTTTTTAGGCTCTACAAATGTTAAGCCTATCGTTAGATATTACGTCGTGAAAAATTGAAATCTGCTCTTTCCAAATAGCATTTTAAGAAAGAAAGCGAAAGAAGGAAAAAGTTGCCGAGGGTTTGGGTTAGGAATCGAGAATGATGTGAGTGGATTGTCTTTTCATTGTCACTTTCTCTCAAGACGAATCCATTTGTCTGTTGTATCGTTCGGGCCACCACCACAGCCTACACGCCTATGTTTAGGATCATATCCCATCACCATCATCCAAACACTTACAATCACAATTAAAAGGATTGGCCCCTTTGGTAAATGTATATTTTTTTTCAATAGAGAGTGCAAAAGTTTATCTTTTTTTTTTTTCTTATTCGTGCAAATATGGACATAAACTGTTCATGGGTAGAGGTAGGTTGGTATATTTGTGCAAGGGTGAGTGCTTTCATTAACGAGTTCACCGTACACACATTTTAAAATAAGAGGTTACGCGCGGAGCTCATGTATGACATGACATTACCAATTACACCTTTTCTGATTCGCCCGTTTGTCGACACTGATGAACAGCCGCAGAAGTCAGAGAAGATGACAAAAAAAAAAAAAAAGAAAAAGTATAACTTTCTAAAGTCTTTTCAACTCTTTTATTTTTATTTTCGTTTTTGTCAGCAGAATGACTAATTACTGCTTTAAGAAAAGCTTATTTTTTTCTTGTTCATTCTACTTGCGCAAAAATTGTTTTCTGATGACAGTCGGAAAAAGGTGTTACCTTTTCAATACTCTTTTATGATGCCAATCACTGTCAGCAAAAATAAAGTAACAACAACGATACAAGGATTATTTTATGCAGGAGCTAAATTATTTACGCTAATTAATAAAGAATACTTTTGAATAATTACGAAAATGTCTTAGGTTCATAAATTATCTCACTATTACTTATAGTCTCAATCTCATATAATCAACAAAGTTAAACTATATTAAGCTTAATTTTCAAACAGCGAACTAGTTGAAAATATAGATTGTAATTCAGAATCAAGCTTACTCTAATAGAATATACATTATAGACTGATTTGTGTTTTACGGTTTATCAACCTTTTGCAGGTTATTTAAAACCAGAAAGCATTTAGGTTGGAGATAATGATTTACTGACACAAGTCGTACTAATTAACTCAAAGCAGAGGGGTGGGAAGAAGAGATGGATTCATACGTTTACCCAAGGGTATTTGCCTGTAAGCGAAAATAATGAATCCGAATGGAATTGGAACCCCGATTCCCAATTCCGAGCCGTTATCAATTACACCACCCATACATCCCATCTGACAGCACCTGGTATTCCTAAGCGGTCATCCATCGAGACTTACTAGGCTGAGGCCTATGCTTAACTTCGGTGATCGTATGAGAACCGGTGTTTTGACGCGATAAAGACCTAATCTCTGATAGAATACAGATAGTTGGAATATGTTGTATATAAATAGATGATCTCTAATGTCTATAGCAGCCATTTAGTTTTCATTCCCGGGAACGTAAATATAGATAAATGATGACACATACACTCATTTAGTCACTTTCATTAAGTAGCATACCTACGGACGATAATGGGTATGTCCCCATTCACATAAATACAGTAGTAAATACTGTATGTTGGTTTTCAGTTGAAGATTCGTCTCCAGCTGTGCTGATCAAACTCTCTGCTTCCGGGCAGAGAGGATCCGCAGACGAGTCTATGTCGAAGAGTAGAATCTCGTCTCAGGAAACAGCTACTCGACCCTGTTTTATACGGTATCTACGGGGAATTTTTGTCCGAGCCCACATTAAATTCGGCCTTGTGCAACATCTGACCGCGTGGGGCGGTTGGTAGATATCCTGTAGTTGGAGATTCGTCTCCAGCTGTGCTGGTCAAACTTTCTACTTCCGGGCAGAGAGGATCCGCAGACGAGTCTATGTCGAAGAGTAGAATCTTGTTTTAGGAAACAGCTACTCGACCCTGTTTTATACGGTATCTACGGGGAATTTTTGTCCGAGCCCACATTAAATTCGGCCTTGTGCAACATCTGACCGCGTGGGGCGGTTGGTAGATATCCTGTAGTTGGAGATTCGTCTCCAGCTGTGCTGGTCAAACTTTCTACTTCCGGGCAGAGAGGATCCGCAGACGAAGCTATGTCGAAGGGTAGAATCTAGTCTCAGGAAACTGCTACTCGATCCTGTTTTATACGGTATCTACGGGGAATTTTTGGCCGAGCCTACTGGCTCGGATACCCCCCATGAAATTCGACCTTGTGCCACATTTGACTGCGTGGGGCGGTTGGTAGATATCCTGCAGCTGGAGATCCATTGTAGAATTTATCTGACTCACTTCTAGCAGTTGACTACTACTTCTACACGCCGCTGGCGAATCTTATACGTGTTGTTCTTGTCCTAAGTATTATCGTTTATTACCAACATTCGTGTGATTATTCTATTCAGTAACCTTCCCTAGGTTACAACACTTTCTGTCTCATATCGTGGCATACCTGTGACAAGGCTGCATAGAAAAGTCAAAAAGAGACAGAGTAAATCAACGAGTTACCTACCTAACAAGCTTCTAGGATGGCAGAACAAGTATTGGGAGGGATAGTGAAAAGACAAACATTGCTTTCAGCTATAAAGAATAGGAAGTTGTGGAGAGTAATGATAAACCACGTCCTGAAGGGACAGGGCATACAAAAGATGGATTTATAGCGTGATCAGATTAGATAAAATAATACAGAAAAAATTGTTTAAAGGCAACACATGAAAATATCTCAAATTCACTTTTTATTTTATTTTTATTTCAGTCTCTTTTGTCATTCGTTTGTTCCCCTTTCGAGAGAAAGATTCTTATGAATATAGAGAGAGGGGGAGAGAGGGAGAGAGAGAGAGTGAGAAAGAGGAAGAAAGAACAAGAAAATAAAAAAAGAAAGTAAAGAGAGAAAGGAAGAAAGAGAATTATAATTTATTTTCGTTAATTATATTAAATTTGTTAACTTGTCAAGCTGACCTCTGCAATAAAAAACAAAACTGTAAAACCACAAAACAAAAAACTACAGTCCCCCCACCAAAAAAAACAAAGAAAGAAAGATATTTTTTTTCTCTATTGGAAATCTAGCTGAGCACGCAAAACGCACTTTGCGTTCTGACATTTGCATGCATCTATGAATTAATTTAATCGATAATGTGGGCATCTCAAATTGGTCGATATCAACCACGAAAGGTCGACGGTAAATTTCCGTGGGTTAAATTCACTAGGGATTTGACGGAGGGTCGATTGAGCTTTTGGGCTTGACGGTAAGAATTGTATAACTTAAGATCTTCTGGAAATAAATGAATGGCACTTTTAGGTTCAAATGTAAATCTGAAAAGCGTTAGTTTTTGACTCGATAAATGACGTCGGAAGGAAACAGCACAACAAACAGAATGTCAAAAAATTGTAAAGGTTTACGATTAATATTCACAAAGTTGCTATAAATTATCAACGCTTTACACAAATATAATCTACAGTACCCTCACAACCATTGGAAATGCCAAATAAAAAGTCAGTTGAGTAATTTTAACGTTGTTATTATTATTTTGAATGTATCATGGTACTGTTGTTGTGTCGAGTAGAAGGCGAAATACCGTGTCAAGTTACAATTAGGGCCACAGACTCATAGTTCTTTTCAAACTATGCTTGTTGTACTATTTACATTATTCGGACAGTTATCCTCATTTTCATTGCCATATTCACAACGTTTCGGCCGTTGTACGCTCCAGCCTTCTTCAGGTGATTGGAATTTCGAGCAGAACCAGGGTAGATTGTTTTAGTTCCACGTGCCATGCCTCTTTCGAATGTCTCAGTTATACCCTTTAACTCAACTGTTCAAGTTTTAGTTCACCACTGCTGTGGCTTGGCTCAAAACTCTTTCGGTCTACTCACTGGATCTAACCAACGTCTCTATCCACGTGTGCATGTGTAAGTAATTAAAATACCTCATCTCAGGGATATAGACAGATATGCTTGCTGTACCGAATAAGACAGATTTCTGTAGCATTCGCAAAGTATATTTTACACCAAGTTGGTAGACATATTCTTTAAACGTCAATAGGATGGAAGCAAGTGTCCCAGTGACTACTGGGATAACATTAACATTTTTCTCTGGTCATTTTCCCCAGTCTGGCAATTATAACCTTCTGTTCAGAGTAACTAGTGTACCCGTGCCGTCAAAATTAACGACAAGTAGGAATGTATCATAAGTAATATGTATTATATTGTAAGTAATTTTTGTTTAATTCAAATACAATTTTTTTTCTGTGTAACAGTTGAAGGCAAGTATGCAAAATAACGACACGCCTGCTAAAATTCAAGTTATATTTGTTTTTGGAAAGAAAAAAAGATCTTTAGTTAAATAGAAATTATGAGAAGCAGACATGAGTTGCAGGCAACATTAGTCGTGTTGAATATTTGTTTTACGAATTTCACTGAATTTTATTTCCATTTTATGGCCAATTAGAAATAAATAAATATAATTTAGGTACGTAAATGAGAAAAAGAGAAATGTTATATGTTTCTTTTTTTTCTTTTCAAAAACACATATAAATTTGAATTTGGGCGGGTGGGTCATCAGTTAAGTAAAAGAGTCACTACGTGTGTGCATGCTTTTAGTTGTAACGAAGGATACAAGAGAGAGTATTTAGTTCTTACTGTGAACTGTGTCGCCATTGTTCGGGTCGGTCTATTTGTAGTTTTCAGTGCGTTAGTTTTTTTGCGTCTGGACGTGAATGGGGGTCTGGACATCTGTGCGTCTCATGTCAAAATTTTGCACAATGCCCATCAATTGTTACACACACACACAAAAAAAAATGAAATATCTATCTATCTATCTATCTATCTATCTTATATTCACTTACGTGCTAATACCCTTGGAAAATGTACGAATCCTCTTCTTTTCGCCCCAGCTATGGGTAAATAACAGGACAGACTGGGTTTGTAGCACGTGGTGCACCAGGTCTCTGTATTCGGCCCTTCAAAAAGTGTGATTGGTTCTGCACAAAGCCTTCAATACCATAATCAAATCATATGTGCAAATATCGGTTCCTATTAACTGAAGTGCTTGGCCGTCATACGTCGAATACGACAGGAGAGTTCAGCACACACACACACGCACACACACAGACATATATACACGTGGCGTATCATATGTAAGGATTATTATTATTGAGTGAAGGAGCAACTAAAGTAACGCTGCGGTACACATATACTTTTATGATGTCAACGAAGACTCGTTTGACACTTTTGTGATGTCATCAAATACTCGTTGTCAGTTTTGTAATGCTCGTTGTAGTAGAGACTTTGTAATTGCAGATACAACTAGAGTAATGCCGTTGAACAATACTGGCGTCAGAAGCTTTCGAATACCACTTGCACTAATAGTACTTGCTCGATAATACTCGCTCGAATAGTAATCCTTATAGTAAAATAGTATAGTAAATAGCAGTCCGTATAGTAATAGAGGATAGAATAGAAATAGCGATCCGTATAGTAATAGAGGATAGAACAGAAATAGCAATCCGTATATTAATAGGGGATAGAATAGAAACAGCGATCCGTATAGTAATAGAGGATAGAATAGAAACAGTGATCCGTATAGTAATAGAGGATAGAATAGAAATAGCGGCCCGTATAGTAATAGAGGATAGAATAGAAATAGCGGTCCGTAAAGTAATAGAGGATAGAATAGATATAGCTGCCCGTATAGTAATAGAGGATAGAATAGAAATAGCGGCCCGTATAGTAATAGAGGATAGAATAGAAATAGCGATCCGTATAGTAATAGAGGATAGAATAGAATTAGCGATCCGTATAGATAGAATAGAAATAGCGGTCCGTATAGTAATAGAGGATAGAATAGAATTAGCGATCCGTATAGATAGAATAGAAATAGCGGTCCGTATAGTAATAGAGGATAGAATAGAATTAGCGATCCGTATAGATAGAATAGAAATAGCGGTCCGCATAGTAATAGAGGATAGAATAGAATTAGCGATCCGTATAGTAATAGAGGATAGACTAGAAATAGAGATCGTTAGTCGTCTGGATACTTTCTACTTATGCGTTTCCTCTATGGTCACGTGATCCACTTAATTTAATAATGGGATCGCCTGTGTTTGTCCACTGGCGATCTATGTTCCAACTCAAGTGTCGGAAGCGACACTTTATTCCTATATAGCATATACAAAGCCGAATATACACACCATTTCTTAAAATTATACATTCGGTAAATGTATCGCAGCCAACTATACGCAATAGGGTAACAGGTTTTGATAAAAAAAACAGTGCATAATATTGCTGGTGGGTCACAGTTGGAAATACCTTCAGATCGCTTTACCAAGTCCGCTCAGACGGCATCTGATTGAAAGTATTTCCATCTATTTAAATGTGACCCCCAAGTCATTTTAGCTGCATCATCCTTCAAACTTAAATAAACACGGCTCTGATAATCTTTCACTACTCCCGCTTATGAACAGATATGTACAATGTATATTGTGTGTGTGTGTATAGATGTGAGGTAGAGTATCAGTATAGAAAAGGGAGAAGGAGTACCATCGACCGAACTGCCGTAGTTAGGAGTGCTTTTCTTACGCACCATTTCCAATTGTAGTCAGTTGTTGTGATTTTGTACCACACTTCGCTAACATAAGTATGTAGCGTTACAGGCTTTCAGCAATGATTAACAAAACAGTTAGGTGCTCCATTATAAGCGAGATTGATACTCGTGGAATCTCCAACTCTAAGAGTTCAACAAATATAGATATTTTTGGAACTCGGATGCTGTATCGGGGTCCTTTTCCAGAACGGCTATTATTGTACGACTGGGTCTAGCAGCGGTACAGTTATGTAAGAAAACGTAAACGATAAGACGACAAATCATAGATAATGCGAATGAAGAAGGCTAATAAACACAAGCGGGAGAGTAAGATAAAATAGACAAAGGCAAGAGTGAACGAGGGACACTAGGATGAGATTGCAAGTAGTGAATGGCGTTACATTTGAAAGAACAAGGTTATTAAATTCTTTCTTTCTTTTTTTCTTTCTTTCTTTTTTTCTTACTTTCTTTCAAGGCACACACTAAGACGAAAGTAAATTAAAGATAGAAAGAAAGAAAGGAAGAAACAAAGAGAGAGATGTGTTTTTTACTTTGGATTGAGTGTGGGTGACTTTCAGAAATAGATGAGGATATAGTCATAACAGATAGAAGTCTTCCTGACACTCAATCTATCTATCTATCTATCTATCTATCTATCTATCTATCTATCTATCTAATTTACAATGAGTTTCCTGAAATATTACGAAAACGTAATTAAGCCCGGCTTTACATTGTCTTTTGTTTTTTTTTACTGCCGATTGTTTGACGTTTGCAAATTTGATTTTGTATTTCGATTTAGAATTTCGAATGATTTGTTTCTTTTGTTTTTGCCCTAAGCTTAAATATTTCGTATCATGAATAAAATTACAATATTTAAAAAATCTTCTCTATTTGCAATTTTAATCAGTCCTGACGAGTAAAATACTTCATATATGTAAACTTACATGTATGTAACGAATTCTTTTCTTCCCAAATTTAGGATTTGCTTTCTCTTTGAGAATTGTTGATCGCTTTCGATCCACTCTGCTCGTAACCCGTAAGTTATTTCTATTCGAAAGAAAGAATCATTCCTAGTGGAGTTTGGAGGATGATACTGGAAATAGTTAAATATTAATTTTCCAAATTAGATTCAAAATTTAAAGGTATAAAGATTTTTTTTCCTTCAGATTTTTGTTTTGTACTTTGATTTGTTTTATTTTGAAACTGTTTTCTGTATTCCTTTCATCTTTTGTGACTGGCAGAAAATTGAACTGGATAAATAATATCTCGTTTCACGTAAAATTGATTCAGTCACGGACGAAATTAATTCCCCCCAACTAAAAAAAAAGGTAAATTTGATATATTTTTAGCTTTCAATACTTCTTTATGTACCGTTTACCCTCAGAACCTAGGCGATCATGGCTCTCCACAGTTTCCTGTCCTTTGTAGCTCTTTATAAATTTTGACTTTTTGTTATTTCTCCTAAACCTTATTCTGCCATTTACTCAAGCTTGTGCGTTGTTTTCCTGTTTTTCTTCCCTTCAATCTACCCGACCTTCTTTCCTCATTTTGTGCACGAGAAATGTTAGGTATAAGTTTCCTTTTTGTTTCTATTTTGTCTAAAATTTTGTCGTCGTTAACGTATCGGTCCATGGTAACTCAGCATCCTTCTGTAGAACTACATTTCTGTTGCTTCACGTCTCTTCTTCATCTTGCGTCCTGGGTAAGACGATAAACTACGTCCAACAGCGAGGCCTCTGATCAAGAGGTTTTGAGGAGCGTGGAACCTCCTCTTAATTGCTGGTGTTCCCAGGTCCACCCTGATTCGGGGAGGTAGCAACTGTTAGGATCCCAGCTATGGGTTAATAGTTGACACCCAAACTTGTGTAAAAATAGGTTTTAATACCAGAAATACTTTGTAATACTTTTTAAAAAAATCTTTGATAGCAATAATTTTTGAAGGAAAAATTATTATCAGCGATACTTTAAAAAATGCCAGCAATACAAACAGTAATACATTTTTTGAAAAAAAATATGACCAGCTGTAGGTTTCTTCAAGGAAAAATATTCCCAGAAATAGATTTTTGAAGAAAAACATATTACTAGCAATAAAAATGTTGTCGGCATTAAATAACCCACTGAGGTTGATATGTCGTAAACCAAACCAAACCAAAACTTCATCTTTGACGAGATTGTCCAACTTTCATTGCCATATAGGAGGACAGATATCATGAAGTCTTTTTTCTGTTTCTTAATACTCTGCTTAGCTTTTGAAAACATCTTTGGCTGTCCCAATGCATCTTCAGATTTCAGTGTTTCACTTTACGTTCTCTGTTAAGATATTTCCCAGATATTTACATTTTTGTACTTGTTTGCTTTTGGTATCTCTGATTTGTAATTTCATTTTGGACCCATCCTTTTGTTAACAACATCGATTAAAAAAGCTAAAAAGATAATCGAATGTCATCTGGCCGGAAACTTGAGAGCTGGCATTGAGTGCGAAAAAAGGGGTGGATTTCAGCTTCAGCAGTTTTTCCTTTGATCGACAAACTTGAACAGTGTTTAAGTTCAAGTCTTACTGAACGACAGGATCAAAATACCACGCGCTCAACATTTACCTATCCCGCAGAATGTGACACAGGGTCGGTTTAACGAGTGGTACCTGTTCACGTACATATCGGCCATGGGCACAAATTGTGCAATACCCGCGACCACTGTTATACTGGTGTCGATACCCACTAAACCGTCTTGTCTAGTGCAATGAGGGTGGTATTGCAGCAGGGTTGGAATCCCAGGGATTACATTTCCATCATTACAAAACCGTGAGCTGCTCAAAAGCAGAGAGGAAGGGAACAGGTATTACACTTTGATCCCAGATAAATAAGCTCAATGTCTCGCGTTATCAGTCAAAAAATAAAAAAATAAAATAAATAAATAAAATTAATCATTTTTGGCGATCGTGTTAGCCAAGCGAAATATTATTAAGAATTAGTTTGGCCATCTCATCAAATAATTGTCGTCATCGAATGTTGTTGAGCTGTCTCGATTAAATAAACTGATATTCCCACAATTCAGTTGTCCCGCCTTCGTCATTCAATTTAGCGAAATGTAAAAACAAATAAAGCGAAAATGTTTTTCTCCTAACTATAAAGATTATTTTGAATATTTCAGGCACAGATTTTCAGAGAAGAATTATGAAAAATCAAATAAATTTCGTTAAAGATATTTTTTGTTTGCTCGTTTAATTAGGAAAGATTATCTTCGATAAAGAACTGCTCTTGATTAAGAGATAAGTTCCAACGACATGTGCGTGCTCATGGGTGTACGATAAGCAAGTTCAGATGACAAGATTGGCAGATTAATAAAGATCGGGAAGAGAGAGAGAGAGAGAGAGAGAGAGAGAAGAAAGAAAAGATAAAAAAAAGGTAAGAAAAAAAAGAAAGAAGGTCGCTTTGAGAAACAGCAACGTATTTTGCTTTTTTTCATTGATAGGGTCGTTATAACCTCAATAAGCAACTGTTAAGAAATTTATTATCGTTACAATTATGACTTCGATAGCCAAGAGCCACATGCAACCGACATTGAAATACGCATAAACTCATTTTTCAAGCTTAGGCGTCACTCTACTTGTTCACTGTTCGCCGCAATGGACGTAACTTAATTCCTGAATGATAAATGCAGATGGAAACGATTTTGCTTCCTTATTTATTCACAAGAGTCTTTACATCCTGATTAACTAAAAACATACTGGCGTTCATTCAAGAGAAATAAGTATAACTCTGAAAAGAAAAAACAAACAAACAAAAAAAACAAGAGTACGGCAGTGCCGATCCTTAATGAAAGATAGGCTGTGTGGTACAGGACGCGAGTTCAAATTTTATTTCGGGTTACGTATTTTTTGACTCAGTGCTCAAACTGTGGCTCTATCCAGAATGTTGTAATAAAATAAATAAAATGGAGTAAATATAATAATATAACAGGCAAATGCTAAATTTAAAAAGCAACAATAAAATCATTCCACTAAATATCTGACGCTTCCTCGCTATGCTTTATCTCCGTGGTTCTCAAAAATTTATGGCTGTCCCCCCTTGCGGACCAAAAGGCAACCCGAACGCCCCCTTCTAATGTAGAGTCAAATTTTGATTAGGTTTTCTTAGTGCATACAGATTTTAATAAAAACATCGCATAATATTGCTGGTGGGTCACAGTTGGAAATACCTTCAGATGGCGTCACCAAGTTCGCTCAGATGGCATCTGATTGAGTATTTAAAGTATTTGAGTATTTTAAAGTATTTGAATGTGACCCCCAAGTTATTTTATCTGCTTCATCCTTCAAACTTACAGAAATCCAGCCCTGATAATCTTTCACTACTCCCGCTCATGAACAGAGATGTACAATGTGTATTGTGTGTATGTGTGTGCGTGTATATAGATAAGTATTTTAATATTTTCCATAATAATTATATAAATGGGATTGGAATTGATCGAGCCAAGTGGTTACCAAACTTTTTTGGGGCTGCCGCCCTCTTGTGTACCAAAACACAACCCTAACTCCTCGAAATGCCTAGACACAGTCGTAACGCCCCCTTAGATATATAGTCAACCTTTGATTAGATTTTCTTGTTGCTAGCATCTATAATTAGTATCTTACCATTTACCATCGTCATTGTTCTATAAATGGAATGCAATGTAAAATGAAGGCAAGATACACTTCAGGTGCAATGTGTGTGCGTGTGCAATGTATGTTATGTTTCAGGTGTGTCACTTCCACCCTCTGTTGTCCACTTTTTTTTCTCACTGCCTTCCTGGATCTTTCCATCGCCCCCAGGGAGCGGTACCGCCTACTTTGGGAATCACTCCTTTAAATGATTGAATCTTACATTAGTGGTTTTCAAAAAAACGTTTCTTTTACTTAAATCCTTCATTTTGTTGGTCCTTTAACTCAGTGATTTCCAAACGTTTTGGGGTTGACCAAAACACATCAAAACACAACCTTAGGCCAGCCCCAATATATAGACACAACCATGACGCCCTCCCACAATGTATAGTCAACCTTTGATTGGATTTTCTTCTTGTTAGTATTACATCTCAAATGAGTATCTTAGTATTTCTCATAATAATTGTTATATAAATGGGATACGCTATTTACATTATTCGGACTATTTTCCTCATCTTTGTCGCCATATTTATTACAACGTTTCGGCCGTTGTACACTCCGGCCTTCTTCAGGTGGTTGGAATGTCGAACTGAACCCTTTATTTTGCTCACTGGGGTAGACTGTTCTAGTTCCACGTGCTATGTTTAATGGATGTCAATTATCAGTTAACTGTCACTGGATCTAACCAACGTCTTTATCCACTGTGCCATGTGTCCTTGAGGACATCTATGTAAGAATTTCTGGGTAGTATAAACCTAATGTCTTCAGCAACCTTTTTTTTTTTTTACTAGTGCTCACATTGCAATTTCTGCTGTTATCATTTCATGTTTTTACCAGAGCTCATATTGCAATTTTTGTTGTTATTATAGCTTTTCTCTGGCACTCCATATTACTGGTTACTCAAGGACACATGGCACAGTGGATCAAGGCATTGTTTAGATCAAGTGACAGGACCCAAAGAGTTTGAATTCAATACTCGGTTAAGGCAGTGGAGAACTTGGAGAGGGGAATTAACAGGAGATAACTGACATCCATTAAACATCTCAGGAATATAAACAGATACCAAATGGGATACGCTATAAAATGAAGGCAAGATTCATTCGGGTTGAATGTATGTGCGTGTGCAGCATATGTTATGGTTCAGATGTACCACTATAACCCTCTGGCTGTCCACTTTTTTTTCTCACCGCCTTCCTGGATCTTTCCAATGCCCCCAGAGGTTAGCACCGCGCACTTTGGGAATCAAGAACCAAATCAGAAAAAAATGGCGTATTGCTGGCATATTTCGGATGTAGCTGCACAGTCTTCACTTGCATGATTTCAAAAGCGTCTACGTGGCATTGTGGGTGAAGCATTATTGCCCACCCTAAAATCCCTTTCCCACAGGCGAAACGTCACGAGCATCTCGCTACTCTATTGCTATTTCCATCGCATGGGTTCTGATGAGCCACGTTCTGCCAACCCTGACTTTTGCAACTGAGCCACAGGCACAAAAGGACAAAGAATACGCATTCCCTTCGTAAGAAGTAAGTTCCATTCGGCAGTTCTTCCGAAGAATTGCTGCTTTGTGGAACAGACTCCCGGCAGGATGTTTTCCAAGTCACTACCATCTTGATTCTTCAAGTCTAGGGCTAAACTTTATCTTTCCTACATGAACCCTACTCTTTTCTGACGCTCAAAGAATACAACAGAGTAACTTCTATATTGAGTGTCGTATTAGGTGAACATACAGACACACACACACACGCGTGCACACACACACACACACACACACACACACACACACACACACACACATATATATTGTGTATATTTAGGCAGCAATTTTTCAAAAATCGTACGACTCATACAGCAATCGCTATCACTTGACTTAAAATATTTTTGCCCTTCCTTGCCTTTAAAGGAGTGCCCTTTGCCATGCTGATGTTGCTTCATGCCTTACTTCTTGCCTATCTCACACTGCGAATTTTTTCTAAGCTCTATACTAAACATTAAATCTGTTACGAAAAAAGAACTAAACAAAATGAACACAAAACGATCAGCTTTAAAAAAGACTCGTAACTGGAAAAACCGAATGGAAAAAGAATGTTAACAACAAATACTTTTTCACACCCAACCCAGTTCTGCGGAATCAGAATCAACGTTGAGTTTAAGCAAGCGAATGAGCCAATTGGAGTAAAGTGCCATGCAGATTTAAATTTTTCCCACTTGTGACAAATGCAGCTATCGATTTGGTGCAAATCCGTCGAAAATTGCGGCCGTGCATTCGTCACACACACACACACACACACACACACACACACACACACACACACACACACACACACACACATCCTGCCTTTTATAGATAGAGATTTTTGAGTTATCCGTAACCTTTACTAGGATCAATGTAGAAATTCAATGGTTCAGCTCTACTTCGTTGGCACTTTCATGTCATGTGCTATTATGTCAGACTACCGTTCATGTGCTATTTGAAACAAGGCAACATAATGGTTAGTGGTGGGAAATTTTAACCCCTACTGTCATAATCTTAATATCCACCTCTGACGGCGTGAGCGAATATGATAAAATAGGAGACATTATAATGCCCGTCTTTTAAAACTATTAGCAAAATTATAATAATAGTTTATCTAAAAATTTTTTTGAAAGGTAATTTTTTATTAGTTTCTAATGCTCAAAATATTGTGGTTTTCAGAAAATATTTTTAACACTTTTTAACGTCTTTTACTTATTTATGCTTAACTCTCAGCTAGGGAGGGGTGGTTGTTTCTTTTGTTTTACCATGTTTTGGGAGAATTCACTAATTGACAGCCTGTCCTTTGCTTATAGATATTGTATATCTCGGCTGGAGCTGCCCAATCCTGACTTTATGAATTTGACAAAGTTCAAAAGCAGTTTTTAGGTGGCTTTATGGGTGATAACGCATAAGGCCACAATCCCTTTTCGACGGACGAAACCTTGCTAGCATCCGCCATTTTATAACTGTTTTTAACGGCAGATGTTCAGACGAGTTACATTCCTTAGTTCCACCAATTCAGACATTCACACTTAGGATCCACCATGCTACGTACACATTGTCGACATCCACGTTCCTTTCATATAAGATTGGTAAGGCGGAAATTCCAATTAGATATTTCCCCCAAATTGTTAATTAGCTCCTTCAACAAACCGTTGTGGAACAGACTCATGAAAGGTTGCTTCCAGATCACTATGATTGTAACCTCTTATCAAAGGCTATCTATCCTACATATCTTCATCAGACGCATTTGTTACTTCCTCCTTTTACGCTTTTACGTCTTAACTTTATTCAGTAACCCTCTACCTTGAGTGCCTCTTGGGTCTTGTAGTAGGTGAACAATAGTATAAAAATCTCGTTCAAGGATAAAAAGGATTTTGAATACTAATCTTTAAAACTGGTAAACGCATTACTTCAAATTTTGGCGCAATATAATCTTCCTACCCGGCTATTTTTATTTGGCGTTGTGGCTTACTAAGCTATGCTTAGTCAATATCAAGAATCATATTGATTCTTTTGATTTGAATTTTCGACCTGTCTTTTGGCTTTTACAGTCGTGTGATTGGTTTGGTTTGCTTTGTTTTACGGCATATCAACACCTCAATGGGTTATTTAATGCCGACAAAATTTTCATTGTTGGTAATAATTTTTTGTCAAACATGTATTGCTAGTAATATTTTTACATCAAAAATCTATTTCTGGTAATATTTTTTTTCCCAAAATGTATAGCTGGTAATAATTTTTTTCAAAAAGTATTGCTGGTGTTAATTTTTCCTTGAAAAAATTTATTGCTGGTAATAATTTATTTACAAAGTATTTCTGGTATTGATCTATTTTTACACT